ACCGCAGGGTAAACTGTCCATGGCGCAGGCCGTTGCGCTCGAAGAAGACGACATCGACTCTGTCGGACAGTCGCTGGATACCGGCAATGAGATTGCCCGACGGTCTCCAGCTCAGGGCCCCTTCGAAACCGTCGACAGGCTCGCTGGCGCTATCCAGCTCTCCCTCGCGAGAATACACCCTGATGACTCGTCGAGACCCCTCCTGGACCGAGTTGATGGCAACGTATGCGCCGTCCCCGCGCCAGCTGATTGATACCAATCCGTCCTCGTTGGGGCTCGGGAGTCCCTGGTCGACCTTCTCGGGGATCGTGGGATCCCGGAGGGCCTTGGCGCCGCGCCCCTGGAACTGCGTCTCCTTCTTGCCCCATCCTACGGAGACGTGCTTGGACGCCTTAAGATCCTCCTCCGTCATGGTCACTTCGGCAACGGGGTCGAAGGCGCCGCCCATGAAGACCACGGTGTCGGCTTTGGTGACGACGGCCAGCAGCTCCTCGTCGGGGGACCACCGCGCGGCCGCGATGCCGGCGTCTATGGAGCCCATAATCTCAATGTGGACATGGCCGGCCGAGGGATCCTCCCGGACGGTGATGATATCGCCGCCTTCCAGGACGAGACATGTCGTGCCGCTGCCGCTGAGGTGGAAGAGACTGACGATGCGGTCGACGAGGAGGTCGGGGTTCGGACTGGGCGCATCCCAGCGAGCAAATGTGCGGTGGGTTCTGCGTCTGTGTGTCAGCTTCTGCTTCCCATCGTTTTTCGTTACACGAGAGAGGCGAATGTCTCATGGATGAGTTTCTTCGCCCTTTCTCTTCATGATAATCCCCCGCCCCCGCCTCTCTCTATCAAAGGGCTTGCAAAGACGCACATGGAATCCGAGTCGGACAGCCTGACCAGCTCAATCGTAGGGTTCTGCTCGGTCGGGCCGATGGCGCACACAATCTCGTCCGTCTCGGGATCCCAGCAGGCGGCGGTGATGTCGGGATGCCGCCAGCGGCCGAATCGCAGGTTTCGCAGGTTGCGCATCGTCAAGGGCGG